GTTCGTCCATCCGTGTTATCCGTTCGCGAGTGCACTCAATCGTGTGCAGTGTGTTGAAACACACAAAGAGTTCAATCTCGCTATCGCTGTGAAACACCAGACGATCACGAACGGTCTGAAATACTCGCTTGCGACGGGAAACTGGGGAGACCAGAAGAAGGCTGGCTCAGGCGCTGCGGGTGTGTCTCAAGTGTTGAACAGGTACACATATGCGTCCACTCTGTCCCATCTCCGTCGATGCAACACGCCTTTGGGTCGGGAGGGCAAGATCGCGAAGCCGCGTCAGCTGCACAACACGCATTGGGGAATGGTGTGCCCAGCCGAGACACCCGAAGGGCAGGCTTGTGGACTGGTGAAGAACTTGGCTCTGATGTCGGTCATCTCCGTCGGATCCTTCTCTGCGCCGGTTATCGAATTCTTGGAAGAGTGGGGCTTGGAGACGCTGGAGGAGAACGCTCATTCTGCGACACCGTTCACCAAGGTGTTCGTGAATGGAGTCTGGATGGGTGTCCACCGTAATCCGGCCGATTTGGTGAAGACGATCAAGAAGCTGCGAAGAAAAGATGATATCAGTCCGGAGGTGTCTGTCGTTCGAGATGTGCGAGAGCGGGAGCTTCGTTTGTACACCGATGCCGGTCGTGTCTGTCGTCCGCTGTTCATCGTGGAGAACCAGCGGCTAGTCCTGGAGAAGAAGCACGTGAAGTGGATCAACGAGGGGCAGAACGATGCGGGCGACGAGTACAAGTGGGAGCATCTGATCAAGACCGGAGTAATCGAGCTCCTGGATGCCGAAGAGGAAGAGACCGTCATGATTTCTATGACACCAGATGACCTGGAAAATTCACGGAATCAAATGGCGGGGATCGAACCCATTCAGGAAGCCGAATTCGATCCTGCGGCTCGTTTGAAGGCTGCCATCAACACACATACTTGGACTCACTGTGAGATTCACCCAAGCATGATCCTAGGTATCTGTGCGAGCATCATCCCGTTCCCCGATCACAACCAGGTGAGCTTTCTCGTTTATCATAGCTCATATCTTTCTCACGACATTAGTCTCCCCGTAACACTTACCAATCCGCCATGGGTAAACAAGCCATGGGCATCTTCCTTACAAACTTCCTGATCCGAATGGACACGATGGCCAACATTTTGTACTATCCGCAAAAGCCGCTTGCGACAACGCGTTCGATGGAGTACCTCAAGTTCCGAGAATTGCCTGCTGGACAGAACGCCATTGTTGCTATTCTATGCTACAGTGGATACAACCAGGAAGATTCTGTCATCATGAACCAGAGCTCCATTGATCGAGGGCTGTTCCGCAGTATCTACTACCGCAGCTACATGGACCTGGAAAAGAAGAGCGGAATTCAACAGCTCGAGGAATTCGAGAAGCCGACACGCGATACGACTCTGAAAATGAAACACGGGACGTATGACAAAATCGAGGACGACGGCCTAATTGCTCCAGGAACCAATGTTCGCGGAGAAGACATCATCATCGGAAAGACGGCTCCGCTTCCGCCCGACAGCGAGGAACTGGGACAGCGCACTCGCACGCATACGCGACGAGACGTTTCGACTCCTTTGAAGAGCACGGAGAGTGGTATCGTCGACCAGGTGTTGGTCACAACCAACTCTGACGGCCAGAAGTTCGTCAAGGTGCGGGTCCGTGCGACGCGTATTCCGCAGATCGGCGACAAGTTTGCGTCTCGTCACGGCCAGAAAGGAACAATTGGTATCACCTACCGTCAGGAAGACATGCCTTTCACCGCAGAGGGCATTGTGCCCGACATCATCATCAACCCGCACGCCATTCCATCACGAATGACCATCGGTCACTTGGTCGAGTGTCTCCTGTCCAAGGTCGCCACGCTCATCGGAAATGAAGGCGATGCGACGCCTTTCACCGATCTCACCGTCGAGTCCGTCTCGACATTCCTACGGCAGAAGGGCTACCAGTCACGTGGTCTCGAAATCATGTACCACGGCCACACGGGCCGGAAGCTGCAGGCGCAGGTGTACTTTGGACCGACGTATTATCAGCGATTGAAGCACATGGTCGACGACAAGATTCACTCACGCGCCCGTGGTCCTGTCCAGATCCTCACCCGCCAGCCTGTGGAGGGTCGTAGTCGAGACGGTGGTCTGCGGTTCGGAGAGATGGAACGTGATTGCATGATCTCCCACGGCATTGCTGGGTTCTTGAAAGAGCGGTTGTTTGAAGCCAGTGACGCCTACCGGCTGCATGTGTGCGATATGTGAGTTCATCTCCGTCTATTTAATCTGTTGTTGCTGACTTGGTCTTTAGATGTGGTCTGACAGCCATCGCCAACTTGAAGAAGCAGAGCTTCGAATGCCGTTCGTGCAGGAACAAGACGAATTGCTCGCAGCTCTACATCCCATATGCAGCTAAACTGCTGTTCCAAGAACTGCAGAGCATGAACATCGCTGCTCGGTTGTTCACGACATCTACAGGGAGGATGAGAGATTCATAGGGATATGTATATTTGTGCGGGTCTATAGTCCAAGAAACAATAAGTATTGCGACACTCAGTCATCTCGGTTCATGAGCCCTCTTCGCTCCTCTTCCGCATGAGGTGTTGTCTCTCCCGACAGACGCCGCCGTCTTTTCTTGGCTCATCTTCGTCGTCGCTGCCCCCGTCCTCGTCCCCGATCTCGAACACAACGTTGTCCTCGGTCACACCCCCGCGACGAGAGCCCACCAAAGTCGCTGCGTCGTCATCGTCGTCTGGCACACGACCTCGGCCGCCCATAGTCTCGAGGTCGTAGTCCTCTGCATCCTCTTCGTCCTGCGCGATTTCATCGGACATCGCCAACGTACAAAGACCAGTCAATCAACAGTCGCATCGGAATGAGAGAGAATACATATCTTCTGTTGTTCGGCGATGGCCTCCAGAGGTAGCAGATCAACGCGAAGGCTACGAAGTACAGCATCGCCAGCCAACCGTCGAGGAGAAGCCATCTCAATCGCCATGATTTGGCGGAGTAATCTGTGGCAGTTGAGATGAGATTGAATGACCTAGGCCAGAACAGACCTTCTGCAAGACGGCCCGTAAAGGACAGCGTAGACACAACGAAGAAGACCCCGATGATTAAAACCGAGAACAGCAAGATGCGATACAGCTTCTCGAACATGGATAGCTTATACCGTTGTTTGCGAGCCCGCAGTTGAGCGACTGTTCCATTCAACGCATACAAGATCCAGAGCAGGAAACCGCTCAGAGTGAATGCGAGGGGGACGACAAACATAAGAAGAATCAGTGCCGACGTCGATTCAAGTTCGAGTTCAACGATCCCCACAGCATACAAGACTTGAGCAGGCGATTAGCATTCTCCAGTTTCACGGGCGCGTTGTACACGCACTGCCAAAGATGAAGTGAGCACCAGCGAGAGTCTGGCATCGCAGCATCAGTCGGCCGAGTGACTCTCTCACAACGCTCAGGCCTGCACCGCATTCAGTCTTGGGTCAACTGATTGAAGGACAGGCTTACCTAGGGAGACGACCAAAAGCATAAAGAAGGACATCGAATTACGTCCAGCATCGAGGATAGCGACTATGAACCTGATCAACTGAAGGATAACGTTGAACAAGTTTCCTGCTTACCAACGATGAGGAAGACAGTGGCAGCTGTTCCTCGACCGTGTGCATTCAGATACCGGTAGTAAGCTTGGTATCGATCAGAGCCTAGCGCACGACGGAAGGGCAGCCCTGGCTTACCCCAGTTTGCAATCATCTCGATGACGACAAGTCCGACCAGGCCAGAAAGGTAGTATTGGATCGGGAGTAGTTCCTGGGAATGTTGGTAACACAGCCAGCCCCAAACAGCACCGAAGATGGCGTAAACCAAGAACATGACAAAGTAGAACTGAGTAAAATCAATGCGTCCGGTCGGATTAAGCGGCAGTCAGAGGACATACGTTGACCTTGGGATAGTCGGTGGCGGGAAGTTTGCCATGGAATGTGTTTTGGAAGAACACAAGACCGTCATATGTTGTATGGTTCGCGTTCCGGGGGAAAGTGACCGGGACCAAGGCTGTTGATGCTCGCAAGAGCACTCGAGAACAGATAATGGTGGTTCTTACCCACGCAGTAATAGCCAGTCTTGCGCACTTGGTACTGGATCGGCTCCTTCGAGTACATGTAGGTCCCGGTCGGGCTTGGATTCAGCTCGGCGCGTTTCCACGGCGTGGTATAGTTACTTGAAGGCGGAGTCGGGTTTCCTGCAGGATTGTTCCAGAAGCCGCTTCCTTCAGCAGCGCCGATCGCTGTACGGCTTATTGTCTGATTTGCAGGAAGCTCGACGCGCGCCGTCCAAAACGAGGTTGAGTTGAGGTTTTTCCCAGTCGGTAGGCTGATGATGAACCGCCCCATCTGATGAAATGAGATACTTGCAAGAAAGAGGATTGCGTATCTACCTCTGCCTGAGTGCAAAACCCGCCTGCCATTGCGTTTGAGGTACACACGAAAGTCTTCTGCTGCCGGGAAGGGGAGTGAGTGAGACCCACCACGGGTGGTTGATTCGTTCTACCAGCGAGAGGCAGAACGCACCGGTAGTTCATCGTCCGTATAAGATGTAATCTTTCCGAGATATTGGACGTCCGACCACTCGTAGATCACCCTGCACTTCATTCAGTCCCGCCGCACTTCCATTCCCACAAAACGCACATTGCGAGCTGGCCTTGAGAAGACGCATCGAATGTCACGTTGATAAATGTGTTCTGGTTGGCCCACATTCCGCTGCATGTTTGCCTGCGGAAGACCCAAAGATATGTTAGCATGGGAACGTGTCTATCATTGAAATAGGACGTGCCGCGAATAGTCTGTGTCCGAGACTTTTACTTGGTAGGCATAGGCGCCTAGAAATAGGGAAAAGAATGGCAAAAGGTAGTGGTAGTAGTACATTGCAGAGAGTGAGTGTCACGTTCCGGCCTGGTGCCGATCAGCGCAGCCCTGACGCTTCGGTACTTCGGTGACGTCTACATCAAGGCGCTTGTCTTCAGCTCTAACGTCCATCTGCAGTCTCTAATTTCGGTCGAGCAGACACAAGGCATTCCCCGAACCACTTCAAGGACGTGAAATGCTCGGCGACGACGAGGATGTGTTTGACAGTGTGACTTGGGAGTCGCCCTCGGCACCACCATACGAAACGCCTCGTGAGGGACCAGGTCCTTCTGGTCCTGGCTTTCGTCAGAGCACATCGGACAGCGGCGAACCTAATGATCCAAAGTGGGAGGGCTACCTCATCACCTCCGTATCGGACCCGGTGAAGGAGCTTGCGGAAACGAAGGACGCCTATGTCTCCTACCTCGTCTCGGCAAAGGTGTGTGGGCTCCCGCTCCATTCCCTTTGCTGTAGTTACCCACATACGCAGACGAACTTGCGTATATTCTCATCGAAAACGCCATCTGCGCGCAGACGGTTTCAGGATTTCGTGTTCCTCAGAGAGAACCTGGCTCGAGATTTCCCTGCATGCGTCGTCCCTCCTCTCCCCGACAAGCACCGGCTAGGTATCTCATCGAGCTCACGACATGACTCGTTCTCATTCTGCGATTAGAATACATCACAGGGGACAGATTCAGTCCCGAGTTCATGGAACGTCGGCGTCTCGAGTCAGCGGGCATTTCCCCAGCCCTTCTCTCCCCTTGACTCATCCGTCAAATAGTCTACATCGATTCTTGCAGAGACTCTCCTCTCATCCAACCCTGCAACGAAGCACCTTGGTCCGGGCTTTCTTTGAATCAACGGAATGGGTGGGTCATCCATTGTCTGCACTAATTTGCTGCAAGTTAACCCTTCGACGACAGCATGTGCAAATGCACCAGCACGCCGCCCATCCTCCACATGCCGAGCCGACGCCTGGAATCATCGATAACATCTCAGACACTCTTCTTAATGCGTTTTCCCGCATGCGCAAACCCGACGAGCGCTTTCTGAGCATGCGTGAAGGTGTAGACCAATTCGAGGAAGGACTGGTCGTAGCAGAGCGGATATGGAACCGGGTGCGAAACAGAACAAGCGGTGAGTTGGTATCCATTGTACCCTTTCCGTTCCATTTTTTCGCGAGCCCAAATCTGAGACTGAATGAGCTGGCACTTTGGAATCTGGTGAAGACCTGACCGCAGATTATCACGATCTTGCTGTCGCGGTTCAAGGTCTCGGATTCCTAGAATCGGGTATCACTGACCCGCTCAACAACTTCTCGAATACGCTGTTGGAGTTCTCGGCTCTTTTACGACACACGGTCAGTCTCTGTCGGTGAGATTTGACAGCCTCGAACTTATATCTCTGTCAGTCGCAAACATCGCTAGACCCGTTCCTGATCCATCTCCATTCACTTCTTGCGTACTCTCACGCAAACCGTGCTGTCATGCGGCTTCGTGACCAGAAGCAGCTTGATTTCGAGGAACTATCTGACTACTTGGCCGGTGTCACGGCTGACAGAGACCGACTCTCAGCAGTGATCAGTGGCCACGCTGGAAGCACTGGACTGGGGTTAGGGTCGTATATTAAGGATAGGGTAGAGGCTCTTCGAGGCGCAGACGATGACCGAAGCAGAGTTGAGAAGATGCGGAAATTGGACATCAAGATCAAAGAGGTCGGTTTGTTCCTGCCTGAATGAACTACTTCGATACTTACAATTGCCCAGCTTCAAGATGCCGTGACCACAGCACACGAGACTTCCGACGCGTTCAGTGACGAGACATTGCGCGAGCAGAATGTGTTCCAGTACGCGAAGGAGGCCGAAATGAAAGAGATGCTAGGAGGACTGGCAGATGGGCAGATCGAATTCTACAAATCAGTCAGTTCATTTTCCATCCTGCGATCCCACTTATCCTGACTCTGCTTGTAGGCCATGGAAGAATGGGAAAGAATCATTCCACTCATTCAACGCATTCGTGTACATCCTTGATACATCTATTATATTCCACATATCGGAACTTGGATGGCGTGAAGTCATCGCTATCCCCCAGCTTCAACCTTCCGGGTCTGACATCTCACTTTGGGTGGTTTTAGTGGATTTGGGTGTTCGCTCGACGGTCGGAGGTTGCGGTGCTTGTTCAGCCAGTTGGCGCTTCTTCAGAGCATCTCTCTCCTTCTGAAGCTTGACGTCCGATTCTTGTACTGCAAGAGAAAGCTGTCGACAATGGTATCATTCACATCTGGACAAGTTGATGCAAAAACATACGTTGATTATACCAGTGTTGAGCGCGCGTAGCCTGGGTTCCATCAGCACATAAACACAGACGAAGGAGGGATGACCCGCATGTGAAGCTCAGAATCATCCGAGGTACCGGGTGTAGTATGCTGAGTGAAGGCAGGAATCCATGGCGGTGGGTTCTTGTGCGGTGAGTGAACTGACATTACTTTGATCGTGGAACCAAGTCGAGTACCTTGCTCTTGCCTTTCGGCTTGACAGGCGCAGTTTCAGGCTTGAGTTCAAGCACAATCGCAAACGATACATCATCTTGAGCCGTGCCGGTCAGGACGCGACGCGCTGGGACATCGAACGATCGCTCTCACCGCCACCGTTCAGAGGACCGAGTTGGGACTCGACTAGATTGAGTTTGACGAGAAAGCCACGGAAGTACTGCCCTAGTTCCGCGGCAGCGATTCCATTCTCGACACTAGCTGACGCCTTCAGACTCTCACAGGAATGTCTCGGGACAAAGCCTTTGCGCACCTGGTGTCTTTGTTGAAAGACTCAATCTCCACCATCTGTTCCACAGAGAACATGAACCGCTCCAGCGCCACCTCCTCTTTGTCCTTGATTACAACGACCACTTTCTCGACATTCCCCGCCAAGAGTTGGTCGCGAATCGACTTGACAGCACCGGAGATGTATTCGTTGAGAGCGGGGTGTCTGGACTGATAGACAGGAGTGTCGTATTTCTTGCGACGGACGAACAAGTCCGCTGGATAGATCTGCCGTACGTACAGGATGGTGTGTATGGCGACTTCAACTGCGAAAATGGATGAAATACGCGTTCCAAGAAAGATCGAGAGGCATACTGAATTCAGTTATGGACAGAATGGTTTCTAGGACGCGTCAGCCTTGAAGAAACACGCTGAGGTACTACTACTCACGATTGAAGGTCAAGGTCTTCGTCGTCATCGGAGTATGAGTCTCGTTGATCGGCATTGCGGTCCGAAGCATGATGGCCGCGGCGTGTAACGAGCCCACCCTCGCAATCAACTGCGCTATTGCCGACTCCCAGACACAACTTGAGGAGGATCCGCTATGGATGGAAAGCTTGAGCTGAACCCCAGGGAAAGACCACGCAAGTGGTCTCTGAAGCGGCTGACCGCGTCCATCTTTGCCATCGTTTGCGCGACACTGTATGCTCTCGATCGACGCGTGGTCATTAGCATCGTATCTAAGCACACAACGAGCGTCACGCCCACTCAAGTGAGTCCTGTTTCTGACCATCCCAAACCACATTCACATTCGCAATAGTACAAGAAATGCCAACCACCGCTACCGACTCTTCTTGCCGGCCGTCCTCCGACACCAGATTCGCCTCGGTTTAAGACCGCAATCGCCTCACTAGATTCGTTTCTCACTACTCGTGCCGCTGCTTCCGATATCGACAGTCTCTCTGTTTCGGTTGTTACCCCAGCCGGACCATTGTTCGAGCGAGGGTATGGACTGCTGAAGGCAAACGATACGACTAGCACGGAGACTGTCACAAGAGATTCTGCCTACCGAATCGCAAGTATCTCCAAGATGTTCACTGTGTTCGAGACCCTCATCCTCCGTGATATGGGGATGTTGAATTGGTTTTTGCTTCCTGCCGCGTTCCAAATTACAGTCTCCCTGACGAGTTTCACGTATAGGGATGATCCAGTCGCCAAATTTCTCCCGAATTTCACCCATCCTAAGGAGGGCTGGTCCTCTTATCTGCAGGGCGAATACTCCGCGGACAAATCTCCAATCACACTGAGGCAGCTCGCGACCCACATGTCAGGTTCCTCGTTTGACTGGCACACTCGCATCGCGTCTCGCTCAAACGGTTGCAGGATTGGGCAGAGATTATCCTCCTGAGAACTTCGGAGATGTATGGCCTCTTCCGCTGGATGAGGTTGAGCGGGACGATGGAAAAGCCGGACGGACGGGAACAGCTGAAGCACTCTTGGAGGCTGCCATGCATTATCCTCTGGTCGCGCCTCAATATACGTTCCCTGTCTACTCCAACACCGGCTTCGATCTTCTTGGGCTCTGCAACGTCGCTGCTTTTGAGATGGTAACAGGGCGCGTGAATGTTACCCATCACGAGCTGCTCGACGAGCACATTTTCCAACCACTGGGCTTGACGAGCAGCTTTTATCGGATCGCAAACGCGAGCATCGCTACCCGTGTAGCGATACCGTCTTCTGACTTCGAATGGGCGGTAAGCGTCAGTCCCGGTCCTTCTTGCATGGTGGATGATGTCTGGCACAGGATATGACTTATTCACCTGCATACGAACCCTCCGGTGGGCAATTCAGCTCCTTGGCGGATCTTGGAATCGTACTGCGATCCTTCCTCTCTCCGAATGGCGAAGGAATTCTCAGTCCATACGTTATGAGAGAATGGCTGCGACCACTGCATGCTTGGAGCGATGGTTTCCAGGAAGTAGGAGCGCCCTGGGAGATCGCCAAATTACCAGGCACAGAGGAGCGTGCTTATGCAAAAGGTAAACCAGATCCGGGCCCTCCAAATCATTCCTCGCTGACTGTGTGAGTACAGGCGGGAATCTCCCGGGTTACCACTCTCAGTTTGTGGTCGTTCCTCAATGGTCCTACGGTGTCGTCGTCCTCGTCACCGGGGAGTATGCTGATACGACTTCCCTGGCCCGGACGACCATGGAGCTCTTCCAACCGGCATTCGACGCTCTCTTGCTGACCGAGGTGACCGCGGCGTACACTGGAATCTGGGTCGGAGACGGCAGTGTTGCAATCGTACTCCTGAAGGATGGAGTGCTGTATCTCGAGAGCTTGATTGTGCGTGGCAAAGATGTCCTCGAAATTCTGCAGCGCGCGAAGCCCGGAGAAAGTAGACCTGTAGCTTTGTGGTCTGCCGGAAGACCCGATGAGTTTAGGTGAGGAAGACATTCTTGCACGTTCGCCGCGCCACTAATCTACTTGAAAGATTGGCCCTCGGTCGACCATATCTGAACGATAATGCTGATGCAGGCTGCGAGCCCTATTGGGTTAGCTTGGATCCACCCATGGCCAATGGTGCACCTGTGGATGTCATTTTCTGGGAGGGTTCCGAGTTGGTGTATCCTTCTGCGAAAGTCCGTCTTGAAAGAATCGGTTGAACATATTACACCACAACGTACAAATACTAATCTGCATCGACAACCATACCACCCCGGCCCCTCCGAATGCGGTCTTCCAATCCGATGGAGCCGCCGAAAACTTTCTTCTGCTCTTTGCTAAGGAAGTTGCCCATACCCTGCGACTTGCGGCGGTCTTCTTCGTCACGAGCTAGATCAGCCTTTTCCTTCTCCAAGAGCATGGCAAGCCGTTGTTGACGTTCGGCACTCATGGTGTTTGCGTCAGACGACATAGCAGCAAGCCGTGCAGCTCGTGCAGCGGCAGCCTTCTCGGCCATAGTGCCCCCATCCGAAGGCTGAGACGGTGGTGGGCTCATGCGTGGACGCTTTGGTTCAGGCTGTCGGCGATCGTCGCGACGCCGAGGACTTGGGCTGCGAGCACGCTTGTGACCTCGCTCAGGGCTTCGGCTGCGATGAGCAGACTCCTCGGATTCGTCAGAACGCGGCCAAGTTCGAACGTGAGGGTCGCGAGACCGAGCCCGCGAGTCCCGCACAGGGCTTTCCCGGCGGTGTCGATCAGGCGAGGGGCTGCGGCGCCTGTGATAGTCACTATGTCTGCGCGGCGGAGAGCGGGAACGAGAGTAATCAGGGGAGCGCCGCGAGTGATAACGGTCTCGCGACACGGAGCGTTGGCGTCGCTCGTAGTCCCGAGGACTGGCTGAACGGTCCCTTCGCTGTCTACGTTCTGCCTTCAACCTCCTTCGCTCTTCCTTCTCAAGCTTCTTCGCACTCTTGTCTTTCTTCGGTTTGATGCCATTGCGCTCTTGCATTTCACGCAAGCGAAGAGGGTTGGCCATGAGCGCTTCGTAGGAAGCCTGTTCCTGCTGCTTGATTGCGAGAAGAGGGTCTTCACGAATCTTTGAAGCGGTATCGCGGACGTTGTTGGCATTCTGAACAGCAATGAAGTTCTTATGCGAGGCTCCAAGCTGAAAGTGACTTCAGAAAAATATCAAACGGACAAGGCAGTCCGCACCTTGGCATTCTCATCAGCAGTAAGAATCTTGTCCACTCGCTTCTTTCCAAGAAGATAGTCCTCAAGCTCGTTTGCGTTCTGACTTGATCCCGTCGCGGGGGTTGCATACATCCACTCCAACTTTTCAGTTCGTTTCCGACCCGTTTGTTCCTCTTGTAGACGTTGCAGCTCCTGCATCTGGCGTTCCTCTTCTTTCTCCTTGCGCAGCTGGTCGAGTTTCTTCTTCTCCTCGAGCTAAGACCGTACATCAGTTTGCGCAGTGAGTCAGACATCGCAACAGTATAACACACCGCCTTCTTCTCCTCCAACCACACCCGCTCCTGATTCTTCAACAGGAGCGGATGCCACGACTTCTTCATGTTGAGATCTCCTCCACCCATCTTGAATGTGTATTTCGGGAGAAAAACTTGTAGAGGTTGGGTCACCGAAGGACGATGGTGGTGGGAGACAATATGCAGCCACACAAGAACAAACATCACCGCCGCAGTCTAACCTTGTGGAATGAACACTGGCAGCAGCCATGGACCTTGAACGCGGCGAACGGGATGAATTACATCGCGCGGGCCCGGAGTCAGTCTCTTTTGCTTGACAAATCTGATCGAGCCAGCTCAACGTCTACTCTCTAGGCCTACACGTTCCATCTATGCCCTCACGCGCAGCGAAATCACGCGAGGTGTGGCCAACCGCTTTGTCCACTCAAGGACCTACATTTTCTTGTATCTCGGAATGGCGGCGCTTTCAGTCACGACAGTCGTTCTTAGCCTGACGGATGGATGTCCCGGTCTTGCGTTCTATATTCTCGAATTCATCATCAATACCTCCATGATCCTCGAAGTAGGCATTCGATTCGTCGCATTCGGGAGGGTGCGCATGCTCTGCTGCTTACGTCTGGGCTATCTACTTATCCGACCCTTTCCAGCAATTCTGGAAGTCCCCGTTCAATGTGGTCGATCTCATCTTGACCGTGTTCTGTGCCCTGACGCTACTCATTCTCGCATTTGCCAAATGTGGTGCCGTTAGCAAGGAGGAGGAGTTGCTGGATACTTTCCTGCTTATTGCCCGGAACGTTCTTCAGTTTGGCCGGCTCGCCGCGGTGATGCGACAGTGCGTCCTCATTGCTCCATAACCACGGAACTTTGCGTGCTGACGTCGCTTGCTCTTACGCGAACAGGTCCGGACAGTCCATATTTTCCCGGCCGAAGCCGATCGACATCAACGCTGCACGAAGAGCAGGGTTCCTCGACTTGGACGTGGAAAGCGAGGAGGACGATGATGCAGAATTAGCACGCCCATTAATCCGGAATCCCGTACTCTTCGACTCCTCAAACAATTCGAATACCCCGATGCCACGTGCTGAGCAAGCTGTTCGAGACCGTGACACTGAAGACGTCTGGGCTGAGTTGGGGTAAACGGTGGTCTTAATCAGATTTTCCGCTTTTCCTATATGTCATTGTCATAATCACTTGCAACGACGCCGTTGTTGACACTGTGCATATGAAGGAAGGGCTGCCCAGGGCTGCCCTGTTGCGATGCTGTGGGGACAAGACTGCGCGTTGTCCTCGTCGCCTAAATCCGTGAAACCGTCCTCTTGGCGATGGTAAAACTTTGATGAGGTCGCTTAGTGCAAGCGAACGGGTACGGGGCGGCGGGGGAGCGGCGCGGTGCCCTGACTGTCCGCACCCGGCGCACGTTGCGTTCGTCCTGCACGGTTGGGAGGGACAATCGAGGGACGAGTTCAAAATGAATCCATGAAGAGAGTAATGGCATGTGTCACAATCCTGGGATTTTGCCATCGCGAAAGGGTTCATTTGAGCCGAATTGGTATTCTGCCAGCCTGATGCGGAGACTTTGAATCACGGACTTTTGATCCACGTTTTTTTGTCCGGCATCTTGTCTCCCGCATCCATACACACTCTCTGTTCATAACTCTTGTACTATTCTATGGCTCACGCCCTCTCCAGTGTTGTGCAGCACTCCGTCTTGTAATCGCCGAGCACCCGGAAACAGTCCCTATCATCTTCGCTGATCACATCAACTCTCCGCACACTCGGAGTATCTATCGTACGGCCCACTTGTTGGCCATGTCCTCCACTCTTTTATCCGAGTCTCCCCAGCGCAACTGGTGGCCTATGTCCCCGAAGATGTCTTCGTCGGAATTCTCTTCCGACAGACCCTCCGCAAAGCATCCCGGGAAATTCAACACATTCGCCACACCAATGGGCTTCAAGCCCAAGAAGGCGCCGCCACCACCTCCGCTAACGATCCAGGCCGTTCACTCCGGCCGGTCTCCCCTACCCCGCCTCGTTCCTCGCACCGAACCCTCTCACCGACGGCCTTCTACCGCACCCTCAAATGGCATGAACAGAGCCCCGTCCAATTCCGTGTCGTCTTCGCGTTCGAGGGGAGATTCTATCGAGCCGAACACCCCGACGACACCAGAAGACGCACGGCAGGCTCGACGTGGATCCTTGCTCACCCTTTCCGACACAGATCCGTTTGCGGCGCGCGTGGTCTCTCTGAGTCCCAATGATCCTAATCGGCTGTCTGCTTTCTCCAACAACTCCTCGGGGAACGACTCGAAGTCACACGAGATTGCCAATCGTGTGTCGTATGCGTCCACGTCTTCTCATTCGTTTCGTCTTGGAGGCGATCTTTCTCCTCTGAGTGCCATTTCATCTCCCGAGTCGGGTTATATGAACCTCAGTAATAAGTGCGTATGACAATTAGTGTCCTTACTCCCTTCGCTCATGTTCTTTCTCTTCTGCAGGAAGTCGACGAACAGTCTGAGGCGAAAGGACGTGTCCGGGAGCGATGGGACCTGGTTGTCGAACCTGGGCGTCGAACCTAATCGGTATAGCCAGCCGGACCTACCGAAACCACGACCGATGTTGCGAGCGCGAGGCATGACGGACGCCAGCATTGACCGTCCCTTTGGGAGGCAGAACTCCTTCAACTCATCTCATGCTTCATCTTCCTCCCCATTTTTGTCGACTACGACTCCACCGCCGCGCAAATCAGCACTGTCACAACCATCCGCTCCACCGACGCATGATTTACCGCCCCCGCCGTTATCTCCTGCCGATAGCATGGACCTAGGGTCTTCGACGAGTATGACATTCTCAACAACCATCAGCCAGAAGGTCAGGGCACCCCGACAAATGTCTCCCAAGTCGCCGGACTACTACTACGGTGGAGATATGCGCAGCGGAATCGAGCCGGAGATGTCACCGCGCACGCATCGTACGTTGCGGAAATCGCTTTCGCAGCAGTCGATGGGGAAGTTGAGGCAGTCGTCGAGCTCGAACATTTCTGCGCCACCGCCAGAGCCAGCTGTTGCTAAGGCGCCACGGAAGCAGAGGTCTTTCCATCAGCACCGTGCGATACCACCGGTGCCGTTATCGCTTCCACTTTCTGAGCAGCGTGCGAACGAACCTCGGAAGCGACTTTTTTCCAACAGTCGGCGGCCGTCGCAATCCACGTTGGCGATGGATGACGCGCGGTCCCTGACGTCGCTCACCGATTTGGAGCCGATGAGCTCAGCGAACTCGTACTGGATCGACACGGAGCCGCCGCGAAGTCCGGTTGTGTCTGTGCACGAATACACGCCCCAGCAGATTATGTCACCGGCAGAGATGTTCAAAATAGACACGAGCGTGGACGATGCGTATCGCTGTCGACCGCGGGGCGAATCCGTTGTGTCCGAGCTCGACCTCGGGTGCTCCCCTGTGTCTCGACCGCGGTCGAACAGCGAACGCCCATCTCCCATTCCTGATTTGTATATGCCACCCTCGCCACCGTCACCACCCATCCTGACCAGTCTCCCCCCACCGCCGAGACGGAAGTCCTCGAATTCGCGGACATCCTCTATATCACACACGTCTTCGACTGCATCAACAAGATCACCTCCTCAGGTTGCCATACTACCCCTGTCCCCGGCCCGGAAAAATGTGCGGCCGAAGATATCTGTTGAAGAGCGATTGCACAGGCAGGCTCCTCTGCGAAAACCGTCGTTTCTGGATATCGACGATGAGATCGAGAGGGCTCCGCCGCCGCCGCCACCCATGGCACGCCAGGACAGCTTCCTAGACTTGACGAGAGACTCAATGGACTATTCCCGCAGTGACGACGATTCCTCATAGCTTTCCTGTGTTTTATTGTTTATTACGTATATACCGCCCTTGTTGGATTGGTCTCATCACCCATCACATTCGCTACTACCACTAAATTTACACGTAAAATATCCAATGTCCTCCAACTTAGTCTGTCTCATCCGTGTGGTATCCTGCACGTCTCATCTGGCCCAGTCGGTGGCGCGCAGCTCCCAGGTCCTTCTCGAGCTTCAGAATCTCGACCTGCTGCTCCATCTCCCGTTTCTTGAACTCCAGCACAGCCATGTTCTTGTAGTCGACGTCCTCCTCCTGCGCCTGTCTAGCCGACACAGCTTTGACCTGACGCACCAGAGCTCGGCATGCCTCGGTCACAGCCTTGGCCGCCAGCTCGAGCCGCTCCTGTGTCTTGGACATCAGGTTGGCCTTGACCCGAGACGCCGCAACGAGCTGCGCGGTGGCAGCCGCGACTTCGTTCGATGCCACAATAAGCTGCTCCAGCGAGTGTGTCCCCGATAGAACGCCGTCCGCACTTTCAATGAGCAGGTTGGTCGAGAACGCAACCGACTTGGCCGCAGAAAGAAGACCCTCGGTCCACCGATTGTTCCTCTTGTAGAATTGCTGCGTCGAGCTAGATCCACGGCCCTCATTGACGATCTCTTGCTGAGACTCGGTCGCAGCCTTGATCAGTCGGGCGATAGCGCTCGTGATGGCCATCGCAGCCGACAAAATCGAATCGTGTACTTGCAGGTCGACCGCACTGAAACGGGAAGCGTCGCGAGGTCTGGACATAAGTGCTTGGAGACGCTCAGTCGCCAGCTCGATCGCACGAGCTGCACTAGACATCTCTTGTTCGACCATGTCGCCGATATCGCCGTTGGCACGCGCAGCCTTGGCTCCTTTGGGGACGAGGCCATCGACCACGTCCGATAGCTTGGTCAGCGCTCCACGAGCCTCTGCACCGTTGCGCATCGCCACTTCCCGCTTCTGGCTCTGCTGCAGTCCACCCAGCTTGAACGACTGCAAGTTGAAGAAGAGACGGGCGCCAACGTCTCCTGCCGTCCGGGCGACGTTCAAGATCCGGTCGACCGCGTCGTCATCGCTAGCGAGGCGGGTAGTTCCTTTCGTGTTCACGAGAACCTCGCTCAGAGACTGGGCAAACTCGTTTGCGGCCTTGATTACTTCGACGTGTTCTCCACCTTGTTCTCCTCCGAGGTATAGATGGTACACTGTGGCAAAGTCCGTGGCGTTGTTGACCGCCTTCTCGATCATCGACAGTGTATATTCAGGCGTCGCGTTGGCGTTGCCAGTCTGGGACGGCGACTCGAGCTCATAGATGGCATCTTCCACTTTCTGCATGCAAGCCTTCAAGATCGAATCTAGAAAGCCACGTTGTAGAAAGCCGATGGACTCGGAAACGCCGGCACGCACCGATGATCTCATTCAGCTTCTTCTGGTTGTCCAGAATCAGAGTGTCGATCTCCGTGTCGTTAGCACCGCTGACGTCCTTCAGTGCCTGTTACGTGCATCAGCGCAAGAAGCAGACGGGGCCACGTGAAATCGGTATGACCATTTGGGATTCTTGCAGACGTTGGATGGTATCGTCCATGCTTGCGTTAAGAACCAGAATTTCCTCGTCCTTTTCCTCGCGCAGACGGTCCATATCCATCTCGGCACTGCTAACCTTCGCGAGAAGATCATCGATTTGAATTTGTTTGGCCTAAAGTAGTGTGAGAACGACTGTCACAATGAAGATACCACCTTACCCGAAGCGAATCCTCCAGCTCCTGGATCTGTCTGTTGTATTTACTCAGAACACTGGAAACCTCGGAGTTCCGAGAATGAGCGGCATCTTCCGCCCTCTCATTGGCAAAGCTAAGATCCCGTCTGAGCCGATCAATCTCGTCCTTGTGGTTGGACTTTTGGCGATCCATGTCAAATCGAGCTCGGTCGCGTTCTCGGAGCATGTCAGCAAGCTCCAGGTTCTTCGCTTTCAAATCGCGTTCCATTCGCTCCATCTTGTCGACCGCTTCTTGAGCAGAGTTGGCCTTCAGCTGGAACTGTTTGAATTTGGCAAGCATGTCCAAGTGCTCCGTCCGGAGCTGGCTGTACAGCTTGGCAAGAGCCTCGTACTTGTTCCTCCACAGCGTTACTTGGTCTTGCAGCTGCTTAATGAGCTCGTCTTTGCCAGCCATTTGAGAGCCAACATTGGCATTGACAGCAGCCAACTCTTGTTCCAGAGCTCGCACTCGCTGTGGAATATGATTCAAATCTCCGGGTGTCGGGGCGAGTGGTCGCACGCACCTGGTCATAACGCTCCAGGAACATCTGGTCCCGCTCCCATTGGCCACGCAGAGCAAGTAGCTCCTGCTCGAGCTGGCCAGCGCGCATCGCAGCTTGGTCGTTGTACACTTGCTGTTGCTGTTGAAGCATCAGCTGTTCTTGAGCCTGTCTCTGAGCTTCGGCCTGTCTGCGCTGCATCTCTTCAAAGTCTCTAGCCTGTTGCGCCTCGCGCTCAAGCCGAGCCCGCTCTTCTGTCTCTCTGCTGGCAGCAAGCGCAGCCTGCTGGTCTTCGTATTCCTTCAGCATTCGAGCCTGTTCGTTGACAGTTGCCGCATCGGGAGATGGCGCAGGCGGCGGGGACGGTGCCGTAGTCGTTTTTGGACGAGGAGGAAGGTCTGGCACATCTCCGGCATCAAGTAGATTAGGAGGTTCCTGGAGGGAATCAGAATGATTCCGGCAGGGCTATCGGTGTCTTTACCTGGGCAAGTTTAGGAACATTGATCAACCCAGTGAGATATTTGAGGTTTGAACATTCATAATAGAATTTGCGCAAGTTGTAATGTTGAGAGACATATCGCTGACGAAGAGGTTCAAGAGCATCCGCATCGTTAGTTCCTGTGAGCTGTTCAGTGTCAGGCATTCGGGCATATAACAGGCGACGCACGTCTAATCATTGCACGCATCATACTCGTGATGAACCGATAGATGCCCCAACTCTCTTGAACAAGCGGCACCAGTGCAGATATCCGGCATTCGTTGTTGGAAGAGTGGTTGAAATGAGAAAAGATCATCTTTTGGAACGAGTCGATCTGGTCTTGAAGCCCCATCAAGTCGGATATCGTCTCGTACCTTGTACGGTCAGCTCTGGTGCTTGCTGAAAAGCGAGGTGCCATACTCACCCTTCATTGGGATCATCGATTCCTTTGAGAGTGATGTACTCTTCGTACTCGAACAATCCGTTGAACTCCGGTCGCAGACGATGAAACCTGAGCTTGGCCAGAATGTACTGCACATAAGTTCGGATCAAGGGAGCGTAGCCTAGACCGGAGTGAGGGACAGATTGAGAAAGACGACCATTGCACACACCTCGCGAGCCGTCAGATCCCAGCGTCCGTGCGCAAGTTTCAAGCCAGGCAGTTTGGCCGTGGGCCTCCTTGATAGTCTACGCAGCATGGTTAGGGTGTCGACCAAGAGAGCGTGCATCCAACTTACGACAGGATGTCCTCCTTGCAGAACCTTGTGCACGGTAATGAGAGCTTTGAAGGTCTGCACTTCATCCGCGAGGATGGGTTGGACACGGAGGCCACTCCAGAATGAGATGGATGTGTGATAGTCCCATGTAAACACGATACATTCTGGTGATTATGGTTCGTTAGAGCAGGCGCGATGTACCCGACACAGACGTACTCCGGACATGTTTCTGCTTGGGCGCAGTCTCTTCAGGACTGGTAGCCTTCTTGATGTTCACCACAAGTTCTTGCTCGGCCTTCTCCTTGTCCACAGGACGGGTAGGATAGTGCATCTCTTCGTCATCGAAGCCACCACCTCTTCGACCAGAATTGCCGAACCTGCCCGCCGTGAGTCCGACATGTTTCAAACAATGGTCGGTGAAAGGCTAGCGTACATGGTGGAATTATAGCAAGAGGGAGGAGGAAAGAGGGAGGAGGAGGTTTTGCGGAATTCTCTATACGTCACGCGGCATCAGCTTGCCTCAATCACTGACCATGCTCAATTCATTCCTGCATCGCCCGCCGCAGCTTTCTAAATGCGCAGCACGCTTTCGGACGCGTTTAACATCTATCAAAACCCACGCGCGTTGGAATACAGTGGATGCCAGCAATTACCAGCCGCGACGGGAGTCCTGGATCACACCAACGATGCTTCTCATCGGCTTCATGCCAATCTTCACTTTCGGCCTGGGAACCTGGCAGGTCCAGCGGCTGCAATGGAAAGTTGCGCTCATTGACGAATTGGAGGAGAAACTACAACTGCAAGCCTTGGCACTTCCCCAGCGAATAAAGTGCGATCATCCGTTCGTGCAATGTGAGGCCGACCAAGTTGACCACTTTTCGGCGGTGCAAGTCTTTCCGTCATCCCAGAGTTCGTATACCGCAAAGTCTTTCTGAAGGGGAAATGGGATCACGCTCACTCCATCCTCGTGGCTCCACGAACACGCGAAGGAGTCAACGGTGCTAATGTCCTCACACCCCTGGTTCGCGAAAACGGCACGACTGTCATTGTGGACCGAGGATTTGTTGCCAAGGATATTGACCTCAAGTCTATTCCGGAAGAGACCGGCGAGGTTGAAGTGGTGGGATTGCTGAGGCTGTCTGAAGTCCGCAATTCCTTCACTCCAGACAATCATCCGGAACAAGGCGAATGGTTCTGGAAAGACGTAGACGCTATCGCAGAATATGCTGGTGGTGCTGAGGCCAATGTCCAGCCTGTGATGGTCGAGCAGATATTTGGTTTGTCGAAGCATCGTTGCCTACGATCCACATCCTAACTCGCAGACAGATGGCCACGAAGGCGAAGCTGGTAGCCGAATAGCGCAAGGAATACCTGTTGGACGGAGAGCACGGGTGGACTTGCGGAACTCTCATCTTTCCTACGTCATCACTTGGTAAAGTCGCTCTACTTGACTAGAAGAAACTCACTTCCGTCAGGTACTCGCTGTCTGCTCTTACTGCCTTCATGTTTGTGCGCGTGATGCTAAACAAAAAGAAGATTCGGGGTCGCGCTATGCCTCGATAAGAGTCGGCCAGTACTACATACTGCAATCTCTATTGCTTACCGTTCAATTGATAAGATAAGATAATCCTCACGTATAGAAGCGATCAGAAATAGAGAGCTGCGAATATCATTATATGATAGCATATGTATGTTGTATACATATGACCCTGCGCAGCTGACTGCTGGGGGCAGACTCGGGGGAAATCAATCTTGGGATCATATGGGGACAATCTACATCTCCGGTTGGGGGCATGCCACTTGGGAGGGGATGCCTTTTCGGTGGATTGTCTACGGTAGATCAGACGAAGCAGTAGGCAGACGATGATCCAGCTCAAGGCCGGCCATGAGCCGATCTGAACGGAGACGCCGGCGATGGACAAAGCACTTCCCACGAGGCAAAATTTCCATTGTGACCCAATCCGGACGCAGATGCATTGTCGCATCAAACCATGGACCCGACCAGATATATAGCGTGGTCCATACAAGCAAGAAAACTCAGTGCTCGCCGTCCGTCAAACACCAAGCAATGCAGTATGCCACAGTCCGCCACCGTGCCTCACCAGCACAACCGCCGATTTACGCTCCAGACAGTCGCCCCCGACGCAACACTCTGGAGCCCATCGGGCGCCCTCAGCAAGTGATGCAACTCATTCGGGCCGAGCAGCAGCAGCAACTCGGCTACGAGTTCATGGACGATCGTACCAACTTTCAACGTGCCCAGAGAGCAGCAGGTGAGCAGCAAGCCTGCCGTTCTCGGTCTTGACACGACAAGGTATTGATGGATCGACGCAGAAGAACGCATTCATCACGATAATGAGCGCGCGATCTGGGCCCAGCGGCGGGACAATGCGCGCAAGGCCACGCGTGCCTACCAGGCAGCACAGCAGTTGGGACCGAACCTGCCACGGGCAGATGGTGGCATCGCGCCTAGTGCCGTGTATGTATTTCCCCGTTCTCGCAAGATGCCGGATGATGTTCGTGCCAAGGAGAAAAGTAAGTCTCTGAGTTAAGATCATGAACGCGTACTCATCATCATCCTGATTCAGGCCGTCTACAAGCGTTCTGCTTTCCCAGATCCAAGCTCAAGACACCGGTGCTTCAGTCAGGTCTCTGTCATCAGCCAAAGATTCTGCCGAAACCGCCTCAGCAAGTGCGCTTCGCTTTCGAGCACAAATCCCAGAATCTTCCTCCGCCCACCATTGCCCAATGCTCTCCTTCCAAACGACTTGCACCCATTCCTCCATTCAACCCATACGTGCGCCCACGTTCAGAGTCCATGTCTTCTCTAATTGAGAACGAGATTCCGCGTGAAACGAAGGGGCGGAAGCGGAATGCGTCGGTGTCTGCTTTGTTTGCGCGTATCAATCGAGAGGCAGAGAATTATCGATTCAAAGCAGGCAATGGAGCGCGAGTTTGAGAGGGAGGGGCGATAATAACGGTCCGCGATCTGATAGTGTAATCTCCTAGGTGATGGGGTTCCCGGATAGTTTCTAGCATAGTTTATGGTCGTGGCAGTGAAAGGAAACATGTAAACGCCGCCATCACTGCATCAGCAATCGTTTCTTGTGTTGCACTTGCATGGCCGACCCAGAGCCGCCGCCTTTGCATGCACCCTCCGGTCGCAAACCAGTTCGCTTCCCCGAGGCGGGAAGCTCTCAACTCCAGAAACCGTTGCAGACATCTCCTGCAAGACGACACTCCTCCCTCGCACCAACATCCAACATATCACATGCCGCCTCCACTTCTTCTGGACGACGACGAGTCGTTTCAGTCCATCCGCCCGGGTCAACTCCCAAATACCAGAGATCGAAGAGGTCTATTAGCAACAGCTTCGTTCCCTCGCAGTCTTCGCTCCGCGAAGGGTCACCATCATTGGTAGAAGACTCGGGAATCAGTCTCTTCTCTGACGAGTATGACCTGTGTGCGTTCCTCCTACCAGTTGGTGTTGAAACCAATACTGAATGCATCCAGCGCACCAAGGTCCGCATTGGCTACGAAGCATCCTTGCATGAGGTTGACCAAATGTCCCGCAGATCCCAGGATCCTGCAAGACGTCCAACGAGCTTTGAAACTCAAGGCCCGCAGAGAAGCGCGTCTGAAGTCTTCCGGCTCGCTTGCGACATCTCACAAGACCGATGCCGTCTTACCTGCCGTCTCAGGCAAGCCGAACTCCCCCACTAGAACTGCGTTCTCCGCCACTGTATTCCCGTCGCCGCCTGCTGCAACGAACGGCTCTCGTGAACCCCCAACACACACAAGTGCCTCGAGCGTGCCCAAAGTGTTGAGTCTTCTACACCCTGTCCCTGCCTCGCTGGACGAGGGTACGACGCTCGACTGGACTGGAGTTGGATCGGACGACGGGCCGTCGGAGCGGCGTTGGACCTTGTCGATAACAAAGCAGCGGAAGGAGAAGGATAAACTTCCTTCAAGCAGTATTGTTGAAACGAAGGAAACCATGTATGCAGGTGAGTGGTAGGTGTTCCAGATTCGTTGTAGCCATACTGAGACTATTCAGCCAAACTCGATCAGATTCATTCAAAGCTATCACAGAGGGCTACCGAAAAGGCTGCTGTTGTTGCGGAACAGTTGGAGCGGCGGTATCATCTGCTATATAACTCCCTCGACAGTGGACCTTTGAATCCGTGTAAAGTGCTGCAATGGTTGGATGAGCAGGAAGACGCTGTCAAATCAAACTTGGAGCAGGCAGAACTAGCTTTGCGAGTTGAGCCACGCAAGAACAAGAAGCGCTCTAGGTGGGAACTATCTGCTTTCGTTGTTGAAGAATATGCTCTGGAACGCCGTGGGATGGCCCGGGCGCCTTCGACTAGTGATCCTTTGACATCTATCACCTCGTCTCCAAATATCCCCTTACCATCCCCGATTGCGTACTCTTCTCCACAGGGTTCATCTTATTTCAATCTCAGCCCTGCTCTGTCACGGCAGATGTCTGCAGAAGGGAATCCCTTGGAGCAACAGGTCGGATCAGGCCGGCGGTCTTTCGAGTCGCGCAGGAGTGGCGAATCAGGATACAGCAGCATGTTCAGTGGATCGTCTCTTCCAGTTGCTGTGCCCTATTCTATCACTCCAGCACTTCATCGCCGAGTGGACAGTGATAATGCCTCATCCAATGACGAGCACTCAGACAGTGAAGCGCGGCCTAAACGACCTATCCTTGCTCCAGTCCCTCGCAGTTCGACCTTGAAAGCGGTACCTCGCAATCTTCTATCCGATCTCAAGCCCTCTTTGTCTCCTATTCCGGATGACCAGCGATTAACATCGCCCTCTGTCGACAGACTGACCGTAGAGATGCCGCAGACGGCCAGAAACGTCTCATTCGGTCGCAGCAGCAGCAGAGTTCGCATAGCCATACCATCCATGGAAGACGTCCGGGAACAACAAGAGAGCCGTCGACAGCAAGAAATGGACGAAGAGGAAGCGATTCGTGATTACGAACGCAAACGCAGGTTGGCTTGTCTTGTAATGGACCCAGTCAGTCCGCTGACGTGTTCGCGTAGGTTACTTGAAGTCGTCACTTTACAGAACGGCCGCGTGAGAAACATGCTGAATCACATCGCTACCAGCATTCGCGATCATGAGGCAGCTCAATCAGTACTCTCAAGTAAACTGAATCTTCCGCACAAAGGTCTCTCGCGAGATCTGATGGATGCATTCGGTCACGACCCTTCGACGGTAGTCGGCAATACCCGTTCCTCAAAGGGGTGGCGCGCTGTCGAGGAAATCCATTCTCGGCTGGCGCAGCAACGCGAAACGTTCCGGCACTTTCATGCGCATATTTCGAACCGCGAGATCGATTCGGGTCCAGAGAGTGTGCTAGAGGACAAGATATCTTCGCTGTCGCAAGCCCTAGAACAACTCGAAGTGGAGCGACACAAGTTCTCAACGAAAGCCCTGGCTGCAGCTGCTCTGCTACAGAAGACTCAGACACTGCAAACAAAGGTCAAGAGCGAGTATCACTCGACCCAATCCCATACCTCGGCGGGGTACCCTGAGGCAAGTGTTAAATTGATGATGGCCTGAACGTTGTCACTAACGGGATACCCCGCAGATCTCCGCAATCATAAATCTGGAAGAGAGTTACAAGGATCAGTATCAGGTATTCTGGGAATGGGCGATGGACCTTGCCACCATCGTCCTCGACGTCGTTGCACCCTTCTGGAGGAACTACGGCAGGGCGATTGTCGACGACGTCCAGCATTTTCTCATCATCCCTCTCTACCGTAACGAGTTCACGGGTGAAACCAAGCGATACGCTATCAAACACTTTCCGCGCCGATCTCTCCGCCATTGGGTCTGTCTCTTCCTGCTCTTCCTGGGGACGGTCACGGTTTTCTTATTGAACCTACGGTTCGCGCTGTATTGGTCTTCGAACTTCCGACTGGTTGGTGTGCCCATGCGCACGCTTGTGATCCTGCCCTACTGGAGCTTTCTTCTCTTCCACTGGTCCGCTGTCTCATCGGAGCTCGCGATCGTATTGACTCAGCTGGCTGTCGTTCTTTGGTGGCTCGGTTGGTCCATTAATATCTTCACATGAGCATTATCTACACATCGGAATATCACAATAATTGTACACTAGAGCATTTACAGTATCAGATAATACTATGAGCCAGGAGGCTCGGGCATGGTAACAGACACTGCTTGTTGTTGTTGATAACTGGCGGGCTCTGATCCATAGACGTTGACTGCCCGCCCGCTGTCGACGCACGGTCGACAGAAACCTAGCCGATGTGAGATCAAAACCAAGGGGTGTCATTTCAATGGGTACGCACGACCGCCCAAGATCAGTGGAACGTCGGTTTGAAGGCAGGATAGACAGCGGATCGTGACTGGTGGTTGCGAGCTACCCGGCTTTGATAGATGGGACCTTTTGGCTTCAGGGAGCGGTGTTTCCGAAGGTCGTCGTTGAGGTACTGTGGATGCAGGAGCTGTGGGTGGGATGTTGAAGGACAAAACCGAAGGCGCCGGTGCTTCGTTGGCTATGACGGGGACCGGGGGCTGAGGACGAGGCTGAAGTTTTCGCTTGGCTCTGGCAGCCCATTTTGTGGGCTTGATAAGCTTCATCGCATGAGCAGGATTACTCCCGGCCTAGAACGCCATTCGCATTTACAATGTCGGGTGCACAGAGACACTCACTGTTCGCAATTGAGCGATGAGAGCTGTATCAGAACTCCGGTTCTTCAGATACACTCTTTTCGTCTTTTTCTGCGGGTTCGAGTCAGAAACGATGTCAGAAAAGCGCAGAGAGAAGAGACACTACCTCCAGCTCATCCAAAGCTATCGCATTTTCTCGGATCTTCTCCTCACCCCCGATCCATAGCCTGAGCATGTCCCAGATCCCTTCATGCGGTTGTCTAAGCCATATCGTGACGACCTGAGGTGTGGGTCTCTCCGTTCCGGGTTCGGTCGACACCTTCGTAGGTGGATCGAGCAATATCCGCAACAGCACATCACAGACCTCATTAACACCCAAATGAGGGCCCTCCACTTTATCGCAGGTGGCGAGCTTTCTGGGAAGCAGGGACTTGTCGTGCAGCGATTCTTTGAAGTTGAAGATGATATCGAACTCCTTAGTCGGGACCGGGACGGGCGGCTGAGGGGGTGGGTAGCCATATGTCTGAGGGGCTGCCGGCGACGCGGAATACGGGGCGACATGGGGAGAATCGGCAATCGACTGGATGAGCAGGCCGAGCGTTTGCATTTGTGCTTCGGTCGCTCTGCCATTGGCAGCCAGCGCCAGCTGATTGGCAAGAAGAGGGTTGGAGACAGCCGCTGCGTGAACACGGTCAAATAGAGAAGGAGGCATGACGTTCGAAGGAGGGTGAGCAGGTGCCGGAAGAGGATTATGCGCTCCGTAGTATGGATGGTAAGGATGCGTCGGAGGTGCAGATTGCCACGAGTATTGAACTTCGGAGAAGCTCGTCTCAAGGAATGAATGCGGTCCAATTTCCATTGTGCATCTATTTCGAAGGCGATGTTTGAGAAACGAGTGCAGAGAAAGATGCGACACAAGTTGAACACACCTGCCCCGAAAGATCCTCGTGTGAGGCTCGGGTCCACGATCTTTACCTTGAAATCTGGGGAAGATGTGGTATATCCAACGTTGTCGCGCTACTTGGTTTCTCAGAGGCGATTCACAGACAGAGCCGAGCCCTCACATTGACGCAACGAGTCTCGGAGGATACCACTAATAAACCGGCATTGAAGGTTTTATGAAACGAGAGGCGATATGTGTACCTGTCGTATACGGTGGCAAGTTCCTGTCCCTCCTCTTCCTCTCGAATAGGTCGATCTTGTACAGGCAACTCAACAAACATAGCAGCAGGGGAAACCTAAGAATCGACGGGTCGTACGTCAGTGGCTGGGCATTGTGGTAAACGCGGTCATGTGACAAGGAGTAAAAGGGTGAAAACATGTATAAACGCAAGATTACGCGATTACACCGTCGTTTCTAAGTTTCTGGATCTGTTGGGGAGTGAGATCCAAGTATGTCGCGAGCACTTCGCTAGTGTGAGCCCCGAGGTCAGGTCCTGCCCATCTTGGTGCAGAATCACATCCTTCCAGCACGGGAAAAGTACCCGGCATCTTGACATCCCATCCTCCGGAGTCGACTTTCACATCCTGAATTGCTCCTCTCGAAACGACCTGCTCGCTGCTAACGATCTCGCGAACACTGAGAACACGGCCGACAGGAATCTTTTCCGCTGCGAGCTTCTTCTCAACTTCCTCAGCACTCAGATTACTTGTCCAGGCCGATATGGCTGTCTCGATCTCCTCTTTCCGGGAAACACGATGATGGTTTTGAGCGTAGTCGGGCCCGATGAGGTGCGGTGCGCCAATGACCTTCATCAAACGAGCGTAGATGGAATCTCCATTGGCCCCGATCACGATGTAAACGGGAGTCATTGGGGCAGCAGGGTCAGGGAGACACGGATAGGCATTGGTTGGGACAATTCCAGTGACGGAGGAGCCAGAGGGACCTCGAACCTGCAGGAAATAAACAAATTGAACCCAAGCGTGCGGCAATTCATTACTTTGTTCTTCCGATCATACTCCGGTACGATGCCTTCCATGAGATTGAGCATGCTGCGCACGTTCAGGGGGCATAATACTTGAAGCAAGCGCAGACGCTTACCTTTCAAGAATGCTCACGTCTACAGTCATCCCACCCTTCTCACCCACATCCCTTTTCTTCTGCCTTTGCAGAAGAGCAAGAACCTGGCCGCTACTTATCAGCCTGCAAAAGGCAAGCGCAAGATTGACTGACCGTCCCAAACGCAGCATGAAGACCCGCCACGGAATCGCCGAGGCTGATGTTCGGTCTTACCGGTGGGCCACTCAGGCCCCCAGTCTCCACGTCCACAAAGCCATTGATGTAGCGAAATCCTGACTCGGCCTCGCAGACAGACGCGTATCCAGGTCTCGATGCCCAAGGACCAGTTTGACCGTAGCCACTGACGCGAGTGTATATGAGATCTGGGTTATGTGGGTGCAAAGACGCTGGATCTAGACCCCACTTCTCGAGGGCTGGAAGACAGCAAAAAGCGTCGTATCAGCCTGTGTGAATCACGCAAATCGCTGAGCTTACTGCCCGGCTTGAAGTTTTCAATGAGCACATCAGACTGTAGTGCAAGGTCCCGAACGAGGCTATGTCAGATGGGCTGAGCACAAGAACGAATGCAATTGCGGTCTTACGTACTCTCTTCCCTGCGTGCTGTGAAGATCTATGGCGACACTCTTCTTGTTCCTCCCAATAGAACGAAACCAAGGACTGACGCCGTCCACATCTAGTTCACGCCAGACTCTAAGCGGATCTCCCTTTACAGGAGGCTCTATCTTGATTACTTCTGCCCCAAACTGACTGATTCTTGGATGACTGAGCTTGTCGGATGGCAGAGCTGTTGGCGCACCCGAGAAGTTGGCCAGCAAATGGGCCGGCGATGAGCTGCCCTAGCTCGAGGACACGAACACCGGACAGTGGTAGTGTGCTCGTAGAGTACGACCGTCTCCGAAGAATATGGCCGAGGGAACTCATTATCGTTCAGTGCGGGGTAAAGTACCGGTAAGCAGTAAGCGGCTTTATGTGAGATAGCGATGGCTGTGCTCTGGCTGTCAATTGCATTTTGGTCTGTTGACTGCTCCTGCTTCTCTCTTCGGCCGATGACTTCACGCGTCCGTGAGTAGTCTCAGGATCCATGCTGTACCGGCTCTCAGATATGAATAGAAAAGGGAGGTCCTGTCTTCAGGCCAGTCGTCAATGCCCGGTCTCGGGCCGGGAGCGCCATACCCAAGCGCGCAGCTGCAGAGAATTCTTTGTCGACACCAGATGCATCTCTGAATGGTCGCCCTTCCGATCTATCCTCGGAAGCTTTGTCGATGCCCCCTCCGCCGTTACCGTCTTCCACTAATCCCTCCGGCGATCAGACCTCACCAGACCTCCCACCACCTGCGACAACGTCCGTGGCCGTCCCTATCGCGGCACCGTCGAGTTCTCGGGCAAGCGTGCCTCCTTCCATAGTCTCTACCTCTTCAGCCGCTCCCCCCGCTATTCGTGCCACTGTGGCACCCCCAACTGTCATCCGAAGCACCCCTGTACCTCCAGCGATAGGTCGGGGAGCACCCGTTCCTCCCCCGATTGGCCGTGCAGCGCCAGCTCCCCAGACCATTGGGAGATACAGTGCGGCTATTTCCACCACTCCGGCATCGACTGAGATGCTTCCACTCACCCCGACCCTCGTCAATCCGACTCCCGCTGCGAGCGAGGCTGAGACTTCCCAACTACAGCCTGAAACTTCGAGTGTGGACCCTCCGGAGGCGGCGGCAGCGCAGGACGAGCTTACCAGTCCGGTGAAATCAAAGCTACGGAAGCGGAGACGCGCTGTGGCGAATGTGGATACAGCGGATGATGGCGATGAAGCGCCAAAGCCGAAAAAACGCAGGAAAAAACTCCCTGAAGATGGCGATCGAGAAAGGCCCAAGGCGAAACGAAAATCTCGCAAGAAGAATGTGGAGACTGCGGACGGAAACGAGGAGGAGAACGCCGGCAGCGATACGCCAGTGCGTAAGAGGTCACGGAAGAAGACGACACCTGTCTTTGACCCCGAGGCTGGTCCGGGAGACGAGATCGATCCGACTTTAATCACCATGGCTGACCTATGCGACGATACCGGCCAAGGTCGTATCAGCAGCAAAGCGATGGAGATTCAGAAGAACCATCTGGCGTGGAAGCAACAAAGCAAGGACAAGCGGGCGCAAATGCGCGCCCTGGCCGAGCGCAAGAAGTATGGAAGACCCGAGGAGGAGGATGAAGACGTCGCTAATCCCGCTGTTTCTGCGACGGATATGCCCTCAACCGAGCCTACCGAAGTCATCGTTGGATCGAACAACGACGGGAACGACGCTGAAGTTGATGATGCGGCACCTGTCATCGAGGACGAGTCGGGCAATGGGTTCGACTATTCGCAGAGTCTGGCGGTCAACCGTTACGCGGTGCAACTCAGGCTCGGTCCCAACGGCCAGACGATCATCGACGAGGACTCGCTGATGGTTGATCGTGCAGAGGATGTGGACACGTCGAACTACGAGCACGTCGTTGAGTCCGACGCCACCAAGTTCATCAATTCAGCTTCTTACACGAAGAAATGCCGTGGCTCTCGCTGGAGTACCGAGGAAACTGAGCTCTTTTTTGATGTGAGAAGGGTTATCTCGGGGTTCCCGCTGTACCTGACTTGTCCCAGGCACTGTCTCAGCACGGCGAGAATTACGAACTCATATCCCTAATGCTTCCTGGTCGTAGCCGAACAGCGTGCAAGAACAAGTTCAAGGCGGAGGACAAGAAAGACACGGCGAGAATCAACCGCTGTCTAGAGAGCAGAATCCCCGTCGGTAAGTTGTGGACATTTGGTCAACGGCCACTACCTCACACTCACTGCCGCAGACATCAAAAGCCTGACCAGCATTACCGGACGCGACTTTTCGGGTCCAGTCCCTGTGTTCCGCATTCCAACGCCTCCACCAGTTGCTCCTAAGGAGTCTCAATCGGTTGAACCGGAAGGGCGCGGCAGCTCTGTTCGCAAACGAAGTCGGAGTCGCAGCAAAGCACGGCAGTCGGGCGCTGAGGAAGGGTTGGAGATCTTGGGCGATATCGATTCCTACGAGAATATAACGGAAAGCATCGTTTGATTATGTCCAGTTTATTGTACGATTCTAGTGAGGAAACAAGGCAACCACAGTATTGCCTCCTGCAAAGTGATCCTGAGTCGAGTTAGAATGTGTTAGGGGTGGATTTTCCAGACGCTCACGATCACAGAGACGAAATCAGGGGAAATGAGGATGTCGCGTCCAAGATGGGCTTCTTCCCAGGTGACAAGGAGACAGAGCCCCATTTGGGGATGCGTGATCCTCATGTACCGTCTGAAGGACAGTCCGTGGCTGCGATACTGAGTGGGATTGAACTACGGGCCGTCGGCGAGTGAGCTTCGGTGTTTGGGTGGAGAGGCGGGATCATACCCTGACGTGATGCTGCATGGTCACATTGTCGGCCGAGATGGATAAAATGGTAGGACGAGGAGCGGGGCGACGGTGCGATTGTCTGGGCATTTCGACGAGAGTGGGTTGGAAAAAGCGTGCGGAATCCCTCCATTTTAACAGTATTTAGTTCCATGCGCTGGGACCAATGGGGCTCAATATGAGAACAGGATATCCCAAAGTGGAATTTAGCGCGCACCTTCTCTATCATCCCTGGAACTCCAAACCGCCGTGTGCGTCAAGGTTCGACAGCCGCAGACTCATGCCGTGCAACAAACCCCGAGGCGGAACACGCTCCAAAAAGAGAGTAGAACATGCTGGCATGGTTATCAGAAGTCTGTTGTTTCGGTGAGTATACGGCAACTATTTCCTAGAAGGAAGGTGCTCACCTTTTTCATACTCTCCGAGGAACAGACCCCGTCTCGTTATCCGCAACACAAAAACCGACCCTGAAAGAATTTCAGCGGACGGCATCGCTTGGGTGGAACTGAGCGCTAATCCACTGATTTACCTTGCTGGCGTGGCCGACCAAATCTCGCACGATTCCGTGCGTTCTGGACCTCTCCCAATACTGGAAGACAAATCTGCGCGCACCCAAAAATCTTGGCTGGCTGGTGATATTGGCGACTTTGCGCTGCGGCTGGGAAATGCTCGATTCCTCCTCGTCTCGCCAGCCCGTTTGATGAGCATCTCTGATCACTGCAAGTCATCGGCCGGTTTCGGAGCCTAAATATGGTCACGTGGGCGTGAGTCATTTGAATACGCTTTCTGAACACAACCATCTCACCAAAATTGGAATAACATCCAAGATATCTGTTAACAGGATGAGAAGCCACAATGCACCGCCGTGTGATCTTTTTTTCGACCATTTGCGCATCACCGACTATCTGCGACAAGTCTCGACAACTCTTCAAGCGCTTGATCGCCATTCTCGAAGATCTCGCAAAAAGCACTAGACAATCCAAGAGTCGCCACAAAACCGCCAGTTGAATCAAGCTCAGAATCGACCTTTCATCTTCGGCATCGTTCAGCTCCTGTCGAAATTTTTGAGAAATACGAACCTGATTGTGAATCGTCTCGGGCTCAGATATGGCAACAAAGCTTTGGAAATCTACAGTCAGCCTCCCAGATGCACCTCCGACAGACACCGATAAAAATACAAGGATAGGGAAGGCCACGAGCCGTTCCATCCTTGAGCAAGGTCAGTCGGAATTTCATCTTTCTGTGTGAAATCCAGATCATCAGCTGGAACGCCTCGGATGAAGAGCAGGTACAGTCTCCAGGCGCAGGCCTGCGTGAAAATCATCCGAAGATATGCACGCGGATACTCTGGCGACTGTTGGTTGTCGCGCATGATCAACTCTCGGTTTGCCCCAAACGACTGGCTGGTTTTGTTATGAGCGAGACAAAGCGCAATCGAACAGCAAGAGATTGTGTCAAGAAATCGACATGGGTTCCATGCGACCGCAGTGCCAACGAGGTTCAAGTTGCGGACGATTTGAACTGGAGAAGAAAGCGACAGAAAGATTCTGTTTGTCGTGATTTGAAAGGTGCAAACGGTCAATTCAAAGTCCGCCCTCGTTCCATCCTTGCCCACCTCCTAGGGTTATCTTCATTGTCTGCAATTGTGGCTTTTTTCTTCGACTTCGACTTCAAGCTATTCTATTTCCTTGGAATATTTTCAAACTATTGGCTTCAATCGCTATCAATCACATCAACTCGCCAAGTTCTAACAGGCTGAGGGACATATGCTGGGACGTGAAGGATCGGAAATCACAGGTTCGTTGGGTCCCTACAATATTTTTCTCGTTGAAGCATTCTCGCTCTTCTCACACGTCTCCTATCTGACATTTTCTCGTGCTCGCCCCTTGGTATCTGGTTCTTTCCATGCATGAGGGTGCTCTGCGACGTGGAATCTCAACACCAACAGAATCGGTCAATGAAACATTGCCAGATCAAGACACAACCTTTTGCCGCCATTTCCAACTTCAAGATTTGACCCACCGCTCTCTCGTTGCGTCATCTTCCAGCATGACTAGCATAGACTCTCACAATTCATCGGCCTCCCTTGTCTCAAGCAACAGTCGTGTTCATTTCAATGACGAGTTTCCTCAACCGCCCCTCAGCGGTCGGCCCCGCCGTGTAGATGATTCGACTCAGCCCTATAAAAGTTTCTGAGCTTGTTCCAGGGAAGCCAGCCGTATCCCAAAGTAGCCCAGAGCAAAGGTGCTTCCGATCGCCGAAACTCCTTCGATCTCTTTTGGATTGTTCGCGCTCAAAACCCTTGATTTCCGGTCACCCGATGCTCATGAAACTCTAGATGAATACTTTGTCTGCTGCTACAGTCGCTGATAACACCGCTAGTGCCGTGGAAGATAACATCAATGTGTGTTTCTCCTCGGAGTCTCCCAATGCGTTTGACCACAACACCAGGTACTACCTCAACCTTCTCTCGGGCTGAATGCTCTGGCCATTCACGATCAGGTCCAGAATAGCCCGACAAGCAAAGCAAGCCGTCAATCAACCAACTTCATTGTTCTCAGTCCTCGACAGACCGAGGCCTCGCTCAAGTCTCAAGAACCTGAAGACAAACAATTTCAAGTTCTCTTGAATGCAAATGAGACCACCAAGCAGATGTCCCATATCTGACATGTTCTCTGCCATGTATTGTAGAGTTCGGCACCATCATATAGGGGTATACCTTTATCAGAAACATGACGTCGTATTCGCGTAATTCTGTCAACGTCACCCGTAGAATTTTCCACGCCCACGATCAGGTCGCACTTGGATCAGGCTGGACTGCCCACTGGGTCACACCACGACCGCGAGGCCTGGTTGACGCGAAGTGGCTCGCCCGGACCCTATATGGCCAGCGGTAAGTCGTCTTTTGGAGTTTACGAGCCTCGTGCCGTTAGATATGCCCTTCTATCCGGCCCACTGCCTTATCCTTATATATTGTAATCGGCATGCTGAAGGAGTGATCGACTGGCGGAGCCAAAGCTCCTCTGCTTGTTCCATTGACCCATCCTGCTTTCGACCATGACCTCTTCGTTGTCTATATTCACCTCTAATGCAGTTTCCTTCGTTTCTTCTTCGCCAAGTTCTTATTCTCTTCGCTCCCGGAACACCTGGCTGATATAACAACTTCAGTCATTTCTGCATCGGCACTCTCCAGTTCAGAGAGTGCGAGCGCAAGCGCGAGCAACAGTCAGAGCAGCGCGATCGCGTCGCCAAGCTCTTCTTTATCGGCTGCAGCCTCGCCGAGCATTGCGTCGAGCTCGAGCGCGGTTGTCTCATCCTCGAGTGTTGTTGTTCTACCTTCCTCATCGGCATCCCCGACGTCAAGCTCTGTGCCGTCCATCTTGTCATCGAGCACCTTTTCATCCTCCATCACGACCTCAAGCTCATCACTTACTTCGACGATACTCACGACTCCTTCCACCAGCCAATCGAAGACCACCGTGCTGTAAGGCACTCTTCTTCTTCAGATACGCGTGCTTACCTAAATGCCAGCTCTGCGTCGAATGGGGTGACTTTTACGACTATAGTAGAGGTAAATGAGCCGGTAAATTCACCGACGCGTTTCTTATCTTCCGCAGGTGACATCGACCTTGCCCCCAGGATCGACTGCCACCTTCGCAGCAAATGCAACTCCGAAGCCGGGATCTCATACCGGTGCAATTGTCGGTGGTGTTGTCGGAGGTCAGGGCACGATGCTTCTGTTTGAGCTCCATGCTGACGGCACTTAGGTCTTGCTGTTATCGCCGTAGCTGCCGGAGCGTTTCTGTGGCTCAGACGTCGCTCACGAGACCGAGACGAATTCGACGGAGATTTCGACCCTGTCCGAGTGGGCACTGCGCGTCCTGCGTCTGGCGGACCTGAAATGGCTGCACTGGCTACAGGAGGAACTTTACCTCAAATGAACATTGATGACGAGGAGGAGGACGACGGCATGGGGGGCCGTCTGCCCCATAGCACTGTTGGCGGCGGTATCGTCACACCGTTCACGTACACGCCAGCTCTTTCGTCTTACGGGCCCTCTACTCGATCCCAGAGCCCGCCTATGCCCAGTGCCTCTCCACCCCCGATGTCGCAGTATTCTCAAGATGGATACCAGGCGACCCTGAGCTCTACCGGTGGCTATTACAATGCGGTTCCGGAACAAGCTCAAGCTATCGGTGGTTACTATCCTCCTGCCCCAAGCAGTTCGGGTTCCAGCAATCCGAGGAGCACCAAAGAAAGAGAAGCCTTCAACGGCCGGCGAAGCGCTGTTTTCGCCGTGGCAAACCCGGATTCGAGGGGCATGTACGACGAACAACAGTACCAGGCTTACCTTCAGTCGGGACCGCAGAACGGCCGACCGGGTTCATTTGCTGGTTCTTTATCCCCACCGCAGTCTCCTGTGGCTACATCCTCGCGCGGTGTCATTGTTCACCGGGACGGTGGTCGGGTCGAACCGGATGCGGTCGCTGAGCGGGACCTCGATGAAATCCCACCCACCTACGACAGTCTCTCTGCTGGAGACAAAAAATAGCGATATGATTACCGCACTTCACCATTCGACTTTGCTCTTTCCCACCATTCACTACGTAGAGGAACGCTGTAATAATTCACGCACAGAGGACCGCATTGTAATTGTATCTATTAGCTCTATCTTACCTTTCGCTTCAATTTCTGACTTGAAGCGCTAGCTTTCAGTCCTGAGACAGACACCATTGGCATCATATACTTACGGCTGAACAAAGTCCAATAACCGACTTAAACGGCAGTCCAGACCGCCCCAGCTAGCGACGAGATGGTTTCTGGCATAATTGCTCAGACTCTGGATTGAACAGGGGTCACTCAACCTCCGTCAACGTGGAGGCTCAGCTGCGCCGAGGGACTGACCGCCTCTCAGATCTAAATGCTAATCCTGATGCCAACACTCTCCTTTTTAGGCCCGCGATTGCCCGTGATCCGACGCTCCCCGCTAACATAGTTTGACTTGCGTTGGGTGCATGCACTTGCGCTGTAGTTCCACGATGTGCCGCTATTGAATGGGTTCAGAGAATTAAACAATCTCGAGGATTACTAGCTTGCGATGGTCCTTCCAGGCTTCCAATGCTATAATCACTGATATCGAATATGTTTGCGAGCGCACGTTCTTCCATACTGGGTACTGATCTTGACCTGGACCATCCGAAAATCTGAAGGACACATGTTGTGTACCATGTGGGCGTCGGGCCCATCGGTGCGCTTCAACGCCGCCTGTTATATATATACGTGATTTTTCCACTCTGTCAGGGACAACATCCCCGCGATGCAGTCCTCCGTCCTTTCCATCGCTCCCTTGCTGGTGTCGGCCGTGCTTGCAAACCACCAGGTCTTGAATACCTATATGAACATTTCTTCATGTTTGAGTCAGCCTTCGTTCTACTCTTGCGAGAACACGACGTCCATTGCCGACACCTGCTGCTCCCCGACCCCCGGAGGGTCCGTCGCTTTCCCTTGCGACATCGCGGGTTCTGCTAACATTTCACTGCTATCTTGCAGACTGGTACTTCAAACGCAATTCTGGTCGACCTGGACAGGTCTTGAGCATGAAGGCCAACTGCTCCCCAAAGCCAGCTGGACCATCCATGGCTTGTGGCCAGACAACTGTGATGGGTAAATGCGCGCCCGTTCTATCGTTCAAGCACTGATGTGCGGGCTTCAGGTCGTTCAACAGCTATTGCGATCTCAGTCGTCAATATGACCCTACGCCGGACGCCGGAATCGCTCCATACACAGGGCATGGGGTGGACACTTTCATTCGGGACTTTGGTCGTTTGGATCTGCTCGATTTCAGTGCGTCGTGCTCCGCATGCTACTTGTCCAATGTTCCTGACGCCACAATCATGACAGTGGAGAAGTACTGGATCAACCAAGGCCTGCCGAACAAAAACTTCTGGGCGCACGAGGTCTGCATCAGCTATCTTCAGACTGTGGGATCTGCTATAACATTTTGGCAGTTCTCGAAGCATGCGACCTGTACAAGTACCTTTGATACCAAATGCTATGGGCCCGGGTATAAGCAACACCAAGAAGTGATCGACTTTTTCGATGCGGTCATCCGAGCGTACCGCATGTATCCTACTTTCGACATTCTGGCCGCGTGGGTTGTTTTTGCCAATCATCTGTTTGTCGCAACTCACTGCAATCTCTACAGCGCCGGTATCGTTCCATCGAATACCACCGCCTACAGCCTTGCCCGGATCGAGAGCGCCCTCCAGTCTCAAACGGGTGCGCTCCCGCACATCGGATGCGTCAAAGGAACCATCCTCTCGGAAGTCTGGTATTACAACCATGTGTGGGCGACAGAGCAGTTCGGCACGTACAAGCACATCGACACCACCTTTGCCTCAAACTGCAATGCCTCGGCGCCTATTTGGTACTACGAGCGCACGCCTCACTCCGAGCACGAAGTCCGAAACTAATGTACCAAAATGTGTTGTTTTGAGATGATGAAATTTGAATCATCCAATTCTGTGAGATGTTGTGCTGCTGTAGCA